TCATATTCCTTTAGTTTGTATAATAGTTTCCTAGTAGAATGCTATATTTTTGCTGTCTGTCCACTTTGTCCCTCATGCCTTCTACTCCATATAGATCTCCTCCGCTCCCTTTCCTCCCCTCTCCAGGAGATAATCAATTGTTCCACCTGTGGCAGTCACTCTCTCCATCCCTTGTTGCGTCTTCATTTGCTCCTCCGTTCCTCCCTGCCCCCCTCCCAATGGAGGGGTTTCGAGCGCTAATTTGTTTTTGTTTTGCTGCGCTAACCTTGGAGGGGCGACACGCCGTTATTAGCTTCTCCTGCTCTTCTGCTGCCACACATTAGATTCAGGTCGACACGGAAGGCACTTTTCATTTGGATTTAATTCTCCCTCTCCCCCTCCAGCTCTCCCTCCCCCTCTCCCATCCTCCCCTCAACCCTGCCACCCTCACACTTCTAATTAGATTTGGGGGGAAAATGAACTCTGATTAAAAACGCGGTCCTCTCCAAGTTGACACACCACAGGCCCAGGCCCCACACCCACACACATCATCTGCTGAACGCAAACACACACTGACACACACACACATGCACAACCCACTGAAAAGCCAGGCTGTGAGTTTTTTGGAATGATGTTGGAGCTTGATATATTGGAGGACAGAGAGTGGCTGCCGTCAAACCACCTCCTCCTCCTCCCCTCCAGCCTTCTTATCAATTCCTCCATTAGGCAGATCAGATCAAAACTGTCAATCACCGTCCGCCTCCTGCTTCGATCTGGACTCGATGATCTGTCTCTCTGCCCCACCAGCATTATGTAACAGCAGATTTTCTCATATCCTGAGAGGAAATTAAAAATCTGTGATTGTTGTTCGTGTGTAGGTGTGTGTGTGGTGTGAGTGTCGGCTGATATATCTGTTAGCTGCAGTCTCTGCCGGATATTGGCTAGTCAATTCCGGGTGTTGTTAAAGTGTGTGTGCCCAATATGGCCAGAAGATCAGATCAAGTCACTGAAGCTCTTTTTTTTTTTTCTTTTTCTTTTTCAATTAAGCAGTAGAAGTTTAGCTGTGGTTGGAAGTTGGAGGTCAGATGGGCTTTTGAAATGTCACCATCCCAACAGAGCTCTTCATCTGATCATTCTTTAACAAACAACTATTAAAGATAAATCACTGCACAGCTGCAATATGTGCAAAAGTACCATTGGCACTTTCTGCTACAGGTTATTCTCCAGTTAACTACAGGATTTCTAACCCTAATGGCAGACAGAAGCTTTCCTCTGCATTATGTTCAATGACAACATACAATGAATACATAAAAACTCCCATAATATCTGCTTATGAAAACAACATATGGCTGAGATTGCTTAAGAAAAGCAAATATTAAATGTTTGAATGTGACCGGATCAGAAGCACAGCATGCCCGTCCACCACTCCGACCTCCACACCCTCACATTCTGCTTTGCTATATAAGGGACTATTCCCTACATTGGCATTGGAATCCAGATCCTCTCAGCTCAACCCTAACCAATTTTTCACTTCCATTTTTTATTTTTGTTACATACTAGGCCATTATGTCAGGCCTCATGTTTTCTTGTAAATGTTCTCTCCCAACACGATTGTTAAAATACTATATAAATCATCCACACTGCCAGGAATCCTTTTTTTTTTTTTTTTGGCTAAAACAATTTGTCTAAATATCGAAAAATACAGAATACATCTGCAAACCTGACCATGTTTGAGTGCAAATTCAGAAGATAAAAACCTCCTCAGACCATTAAAAGCCACCAAAAGAAACATTGTCATAAGTCAAAAGAAAAATGAACTTTTAATAAATATGATATATTGTGAAAATAAATACCTTTTGAAACAAAAACAAAGCAAAATACATTTACAAATGGCCCAACGGCTCAACAGTCCTAGCCTCCACAGTTAAGACAATGGACACTGTTTTCAAGGAAAAGGACACAGTTCCACTGTCTGACTGACTTCCCAGCACTACTGAAGCATATTTTAGCACTAAAAGTGTCTCGCATCAAAGGTGAAAAATGTGTAAACTTTTAACACCACATGTGCCACATGCTTCAGATGGATTACATTTTCTACACAGCAGTGAACACCTGGAGCCCCTCCTGGCTGACGATTACCTAAGCAGAGGTGCCAATTTGATTCAGGGATTTGCAGGTTATATTAGCTGACAAAACATCAGTGTTAATGCAAGACCTGGAAATAGATTCCGCAAGGGTATCACAGATTCAAATCTCTAGACTGAGTTAAAAATGTCCAATGTTAATTGCAACTGTCTAGCAGGTTGTTTAGCAAGGGGTTTTGCCCTCTTAGTTTAGAGAATTTTGTTCCCTGACTTCTGTCTCTCAGGTAGCACTTCTTTTCCAAGGTGTTCTGTACTGTCCCGACACGCTTCACCAATCAAATGCTTTTATTTAGAGATTTATAACTCAGTGAAAATGGTAACGTTGATGTTTATATCCTGTTTATTGTAGTGAAATAAGATTCCATTTATACGCCATTATCTGTCAGAACGTTGATAGAAGACTATGTCTGCACAACTCTGGATTATGAACAGTGGCAAAGGTATTATGTCAGTGTTTTTAAAATGATCTATTTCAGCAGTATCCCTTCACATGCCACTACAGCATGCTTAAAGTTCAGACTGTGACTGGTCTGGTCTCCAGCATTAAAGTTTTTTTTAAATCCACAAATTGGGGGTGTCTTGACATGTGCCAACGTGTGAAGGTACACCAGTGTTGTATTTCCACTTGGATCGCTGTTCCGATTGGCACATCCCAGCTGCTGTACCTGGACTACTTCTTCTCTCTGTATGACGTACCAGGTGGTTGCTACAGGTGTCAGTTGTCAATGCTTCCTGCATTTGTACATTGGTGCTGGACAACAATGGTTAAAGGAATCATTTGACATATTGGGAGTGATGAAAATCATGTCTGCACACTAATATTGAAGCTGGAGCCAGCCTCAGTCAGTTAGCTTTGCATAGCACAAAGACTGGGAGCAGGGGCAGCTACCCCACCTCTGTCCAAAGTTCAAAATTCCTCTAAATGTTTCTAATTAGTTTAATACAACGTTACGTATACAACAAGTATCATATCAAACAATTTCTTTTACAAATCTCATGCCGAATATGGAAAGACATATTTCACATTTAAGCTCATGGTAATGGCAAGTGTTAGTTTATGGCCTACCTATCGTAGCAAGGCAGAGCCTGAAAAGCTGTACTGAGGGAACAAATGCTCCTGTTCATACAGTTGCCTCCAGCTGCAGTATTACCAGGCTTCAGTTGTGCTTGACTGTACCAGCGTAACTCTGGTTTGCGTGTACATATGAGCGACCTTTGACCCCTGCCAGTCATGAACCCATTGTTCTTGGTGCTGATTAGAATGACCCCCTTCCTTCTATCCTTTCACTTTGTCCTCTGCCGCATCCCTCGCTCTTAAACAAGCGCTCCCAATTAGCACACCGCTTAACGAGGTCGTTAGCAACCTGCCGCCCGAGTCCCAAACTCTACCAACATTCAGTTTACGTTCAGGGAAGGCTCATCTGTGCTAAATGACACGTTTACACTAACACGACACAGACAGAAACACACACACACAGTCATTTACATATTAATATAATGGGAGCACGTAGGGGTCATTAAAACATCCGAGAGTTGTAAAATCCAAATAGTAACCCAAAATAAGATGAAAACACTGTTTTTCATCTGGGGCTGTTTGATTGTTTCGGTTTATTTCCAATTAATTATTTTATTTATATTTATATTTTATTTTTAATTAATTATTTATTTTCCCTTTCTCACCTGGATAGAGGAAACGGT